ATCAACCTCTGTAATTTGACGTAATTGAGTTGGTATTTTACACACCTTTAGCACCGTCTGTCTGCCAAAGCCACAATGACCCAAACTTCATGTTTGGGCATGGTTCTTAGCTATGTTGGGAGCATGCACTGACAAACTTTCAGCCTTTATAAAATAACGTAGGTCTGGCGTTCACTAGTTCTTAGTCTATAAGTCCTAGTCAGATAACTCTATGACATAATTTCGTATAATGACAGCCTTCCATATAGAATTAGTATAATAAACGTCACTTTGGATACCCATTGAGCATTGAAAACAAATACTATACATAAAATGACAGCCTACAGTGACTAAGCAAACCCGCTCAATTGACATAGTAAGATGCATAAGTGTGTCTGTTGGTCATACGCGTACCAGTCGCCGAGTTAATTTGTACAAGATGATGTGGGAAAGTTTTACTTTGGATGAGGCAATAGTTTTCTCCAATATACGAAAAATATTAAGTGACATTTTTATATGACAAAATTATAGAAATTACTAGCTTCACCCGCGTGAATTCGGGTCTGTCTAAAAAAACCCTTTCAAAAACGAGATGAAAGCGTTTCTATATTTTTTTCTGGGTCTCAAACTGTCTTTATACCAAATTCCATCTAAATTCATCCTCAGAAATTTTCACAATACATACATAATATAAATAGGTATTAGTAGGAAGTTGGATTGTAAATGATATTATAGAGGTTTGGACATATCCGCATTACAGCGGAAATACAATGAAAATAAAATTTACAATTTGTAGCATAGTTAAAATGTGTATAATAAACACATTTTATCATTTCCGATAAGTTGTAAAAATGATTTAGATACTTATTAAAATGGTAAATAAACCGTAACTAAAGAATACCTAAACGTTTTCATTATTGCTAAATCGGTTAATATAATAAAGTATTCAATTTAAAACCGGAATACGAATTGAATTTTTAATTATTATTGTTTAAAGCTAATTATCTTTAAAGACTTCATCATGAATTGTTTTATTATACGAGTATTGTTCTTTACGACAATTTTATTCCTTACTAGCGGCCGCCCGCGACTTCGTACGCGTGGAGTGGATCCCGTTTTATCTCCTTCATCTATCTTACGCGGTTTAGATTTTTTTCATACAAATGTTTTTTCCCGCTAACTCCCGTTCCCGTTAGAATTTCGCAATATCCTGTTGTAACTAAGCTTTAAGTTTACTAAGGTACCTGCATGCTAAATTTCAAGCGTCTATCTTACGTGGCTTAGATTTTTTCATACAAATGTTTTTTCTCGCTAATTCCCGTTCCCGTAGGAATTTTGCAATATCCTGTTATAACTAAGCTTTAAGTTTACTAAGGTACCTGCTTGCCAAATTTCAAGCGTCTAACTTAAGCGGTTTAGATTTTTCATACAAAAGGATTTTTCCGCTAATGCCCGTTCCCGTGGGAATTCCTAAGTATCCTATAACCTGCCCAGGAGTATGAAGAATAATTGTACCAAGTTTCGTTAAAATCCGTCGAATAGTTTTTGTTTTTATAAGGAACATACAGACAGACAGACAAAAATTTTACCGATTGCATTTTTGGCATCAGTATCGATCACTAATCACCCCCTGATAGTTATTTTGAAAATAATATATTTCATGTACAGAATTGACCTCTCTACAGATTTATTATAAGTATAGATTATTTCAACACTTGCATTTTATTATGAAAGTACTGTACGTTTTAATAATGACCGATGCATTAACATTTGTAAGGAATGCGCCGACACAAACAAATAGTAATATTTGTTATCAAGTTCATTCGAAACTGAAACTGCCAATTAAAATAAATATACACACACTTTCCCTAATAAAGTACTTATGCAAATTATTCTGGGCAAATCAAAACTTATAATTCACACTTTAAATGGATTAGCAAGCTGAAGTCGCAATGGGCTAAGGCAGAACTGACGGCCGATGGGGCAGCAAGGTTCTGGAGTGGAGGCCACTTATCGGAAAGCGCAGCATAGGACGTCCACCCACAAGATGGATCGACGATCTCGTAAAGGTAGCAGAAAGGTGCTGGATGCATGCCGCTACAAATCGGTCATATGGAAATCATCGGGGGAGGCCTATGTTCAGCAGTGGACGTCTTAAATGGCTGAAATTATGATGAAGAAGATGACTTAGGAGTGGACTTACCAGAATATCTACATCAATTACAACTGATCAAATAAATGTACACCTCGCATGATAGAAAATAATTCCTCAACCAGTTGTAGTAACGGATTTTTCACAGTTACGGATTATGTGTATGTAGTAAACAATTACAATTTGTACTGGTTTACTTATGGCACACAAAACGGTGTTGTTTAAAAGGTTGCGTTATGTCAGACACCATAAAAGTAATGTCATTTTGTGTGAATTTATTCGTGTAGGCCTTTTTTTAGAGTTCGAGGTCGTGGCCAAAGTTCTACTCCAAATAATTGGTGACTGAGTTTGTTCTGGGCCCCGATTACGCTAAAAATGTTCATCTTCAACGTGCCTGGACGACAAACGAACATCAGCTGTGTTGACAAATCCGTATCGCGGTGTCGTTTTGACAGCTAGTTGTTGAAACGAAGCATAGACGTAAACGTAAAGCTAAATATCTCATGTGACAATGAAAATACTAGGAAGGTACGTCCATTAGCGTGAAACCGAATTTGCACCTCAGCTGGAATGAAAAACGGAGCGCAACTGGAGAAGAAGCGCGTATGTATTGGAGACGTTAAAAATTAGCGTAATCGGGGCACTGGTGTTTTTTACTTAGCACTTGGCATATTCATTTCTAATGCGAGGTATAGACTAGGAATAAAACTTGCAGAAGTTGACTTCCGCAAGCTGTTTACCACTGTGTAAATAGCTGTCGCTACCCAACTTCTGCAAGATTTACACAGTGGTGACAGCTTGCGGAAATCAACTTCTGCATTTATTGCTAGTCTAAACCTCGCTTATGAGTTAGTAGTAGCCCAAAATATGCTTTCTTCTAGGAATATTCCAAATGTAGTAACGCCCTATACTTAAATGAGGAGATAATTCCTTTAGATTTATTAATTAGTGAAACAATATGAATGAAAGGACATTATTAATTTCAGTATAGTTATAAAACACAGTTCTACATAAAAAAGACCTCCATAGTGTTGAAAAATGAAAACAAAAAAAATGATTTTAGTGTTGTGAAAAATAAATTGGCAACGATTTCTAAATTTTATTTTATTTCTGCTAAGTTTGAAAGTTTTCAGTGAATTTTTTTCTACTTACAGTTAATAAAGAAGTCGATCAAAACATTTTAATTAATGATCAGACGAGCTTCTTTCTCAATCAATTATTACGATTTACGATTTTCTTGCGAAGTGGTCATGAGAAAAAATTAAATGTCTTAGTATTTATTATGCTTTTACTACAAGAATTTATTATGACAATTTAGAATTTATGATATCGATATTGCACGACACATTGTTTATTACCTAAGCGCGTAATTAACTTTGAAATTGTTTAAAATCTTCAAAAACTAAGTTCGTCAAAACAAAGAAACTCTAGCGGCCGCTCGCGACTTCGTACGCGTAGATCCTGTTTTACCCTCTTAGGGCTTGAATTTTGCAAAATCCCGTCTTAGTGAGCACCTACGTTCAATGGGGTCAATGCAAAATTTGAGACTCCTAGTACTTGTAATTTCTGAGATTTCGTGATGAGTGAGTCAGTCAATCAGTGACCTTTCGCTTTTATAGATATAGATTGCTGTGCATGATCAAATTTAGTGGTACCCAGTAAAAGTGACTACCTAAACTACTTTATTTACATTTAGATAGAAATTGTTCTAGCTTAATAATTTAATTTTGATTACTATTGAGTCTTAGATACCTTCTCTACATCTTTGTACATCTCAAACCAAGCATTTATGGCAGGAACTGTCTGCGAGCTTCGAAACCTGCTCGGTAACCTGATTCAGGGGCAACTTTATACATCATCGATGGGACTTTATAGGAAGGAGGAAAGAAGAGGCAATTGCAATAGTAATGATAATTCAAATGTAGCAATCAAAATGTAAATATTTAACGATAACTAAAATAGGAACAAGGGTTTGTCCGTAAAGATGCACAGATCAACATTTGCAAATGTTTTATGTGAAAAGTTGTTCAAGCGTTATGTATCGAAACATTGTATTGTACTCATCAACAAAATTGTCTTCCATTATGTGAGTTAACTTTGCAAAGATTGATTCAAAAATAGTTAGAAATGCTTATTTCCTTAAAACTACACACACCTTGACACATGTCTGACCTGTGATCGGCAAGAATGTGACAAATGTGACAATGTCAAAAGTTGAAACCCTTCCCAAATTCAAAACAATAGAACAGTGCCACAATAACCTAATTACGCACTTACTCCGTCACATAACAAGTAAAATAGTCACAAAGAGAAAGTGAACTTCGATTTCGTAGTCATCATTATTATGCTAGTATCGTGTTTGATCATCAGCTCGGTTCTAATGTTATTTATTCACATTTTCAGCCAATTCCGATGGCACACGCGATTTTTTTCTTCTTGGAATGACGAGCGACTTTCCAATACGGCTCTAGAATGTTTATCACGCACTCGACAATTTCGGTTGGGCTGTGAAGTGAAATGGTCGAACGATTCCGGGTTGCATTTTAATTATTATATTAAGGCTACTGTCTAAATTGCCTGGATGCGGGCAGCGCAGGACCGTTCATTGTGGAAAACCTTGGGGGAGGCCTTTGTCCAGCAGTGGACGTCATTTGGCTGAAACGAACTGTCTAAATTACTGGTTACTTGCGTTCAGAATTGAAGTACGATCAGAAGTTATCGATTTGATTTGGGGATAGCAAAAAATATCTGAGTAATATTTTCTATCACATATCACAAACTTAGCAAATTATTACCATAATGAATAGCTAATAACAGTGTTTTCTTCCAATTTAGCTTTCATCTTACCCAAATTTTCTCTTTGTTTCAGATGGCTCGTCAAGTAAGATTTGGAAGGCAAATCTGACAGCAATCTTCCGCATGTCACCGGTGAACTGAACCTTTTCAAAATAACGACTAATGCACGACGCACTTTCGAATATCTTGCGTCTCGAGCCGAAGATAATGGAATTGATATCACACATGAGCACTTGCTGTAACAGCTTTTGTGTCCTTTGTTTACTTTAAAGTACCAAGTATCATCACAGAACCTGAGGCAGTAATGCTCTGACGATGGCGAAGCGAAATCGCTGTATGTGCGCTGCCGACGCAGATATACACCCTGATATCAAAAAGAGATTTAGACCTATTACAATAAATATAGCAAAGCTATCTCTAGTTCTATTATTAGCTATTAGTGTAAAACATGTTAGTTGTGAAGAAAATTCTAGTGAAGACACAAACGAACTGTCAAAACGTATGAAAGTGATAGAAAGTGTAACCGGAAGATTTTTCAGTGATGTATACCAAAACGGAACTTTTAGGACTGGAAATTCTTTGTGGGACAATATCTTGAATAAGTGTAGTGTGAATCCGTCGGTTAGCTGTTTGCAAAAGAACGTTTACAGTTATTTAGACGATAGTTTGAAATTTAATGGTGATGTGGACATTGGTCACGGTGTGTGTTTCAAGAAAAACAACGTGGATATCAGCAAGTACAGTAAAGAAGCGAACATTATCTACCTCACTGGGAGTAAGGACGATCCGAAGGATGCAAGCGGAAGACACTTTGATGAAGAAAATGAAATTGAAGACGATGATGAACCAGGTGAGTTGTAATGTTAATAATTCATACGTTTACTTAAAAAGTAACCCTATTAATAAATTAAGGTGTCTGTAAACCTAAAAGTGATATACTAAATTAATTTTAATAAATAAGATTGTAAATGATAAGCTTTTCGGTACTGAACCTTTAATAGTAGGTACTTGCTCTAAATTTACTCGTATAATAATAAAATATTAATATAATGGCTCATAGTCCAGCAGTGGACTGTAAAGGGCTGTTGATGATGATGATGATTAATATAATTATCATAGGTCGACTGAAAGCAATACGCCTATTATTGTACTTTAGTAGGGCCTTTATACAGACGTCTTCATTAGCCCTCCTATGGGTGTCACTCAGTAATTAGTGTTTTCTTTATTAACGTATTAAACCGCTATTATTAATAAAGCAAACGTATTATTAAGTCTTCACAAGGTCTGTGCTCCTTCAAAGTAGGGCAGGGTATTAGTCCACGTGGCATAACGAGTAAGCAAAACCGGAAACTCTCACAAGTATCCGGATTCCATAGCGTTCATATGGCTAGTGTGTTATTATGGTGAATTAATTATAAAAGAACTGGAAAAGTAAAAGTAGAACTACGAGGAAATGTTCCATGGCTCATTAACAGAAAAATACTATTATCAGTTGGCAGCATTTCGTTAACTTGCGTATACAATTTTATTACAAAAGATTTTTGTTCGTTTGAATTGTTCTCTGTTAAAAGTTTGTCTGGAAAGATTGGTTTCACTTCATTCTGTTCTTCTGTTTCAATTAACTTTACGTGGTACCTTCAGGAGTAGCTACATTTCTGGCATCAAAACGGCACACTTATTAGTTTCTTTGTTGATAACAGTTTTGATAAATAGGTAAACTATTTCTACTGTATACCTGAGACCTATAAACATTATCCATAAAGATTTTTGAAATTTTCTATACATATTGCTGCGAAAGTTATTTCCTGACTCACAAAAGGAAATAAAAAATAGATCGAACGTATTCAAGTCATTCTCAAAACAGATTTATTTTCGCACAGTGAAAGTAAATCAAACCGGTCTCTTATTGGGATTATAAGCAGTCTAAATTCAAGAGGTATACAGCATAATAGACTTCCAAATACTGCCAATACATTGTCAAAAGCTTTACAGAAGTCTAAAGCTGAGTTGCACCACCTTATTTGAATCGTGACTATAACCATGACCGGTGTTTTTTGTATAGAGTTGACAGACTTTTGACGTTTGTTATCGTTAAAGTTAAATCTTACTTAAATCATGGTTCTCAAAACCAAGTCGTGGCCAAAATAAAAAAAGAAAAAGAAGAAGAAGTAAGTAAATCTTACTTTAACTTTCACATGTAGGTGCTGTCACATACATTACATTGTTTAATTAAAGAGAGCCGAATGGATTATTAATTATAACCTTTTTCATTTGTATTATCTGTGTACTTGTATCCCTAATATTCGTGTTCTTCCTTTCAATCATCTTCTTTACACCTTTCACAATTGTTCTCAAATCTGGGGCTACTTTTCCGTCCTATTTTCATGCCTATGAGAAAAGCGTCTTGATTTAATTTAATAAAACAACATAGACTAAGAGCTGGTGAACGCCAGACCTACGTCATTTTATAAAAGCTGAAAGTTTGTCAGCGTGTGCTCCCAATATAGGATAGAATGTTGGTGAATCATGAAGTTTGGGTCATCGTCACTTTGGCAGCTATCCTCAACATCAGCCAGAAAGTTTTGGCAGTTCGAACTTCTTGCCAGACTTTTTTTTTTAGGATAGCTGCCAAAGCCACGATGACCCAAACTTCATGATTCATTATATCCTATATTGGGAGCATACACTGACAAACTTTCAGCTTTTATAAAATGACGTAGGTCTGGCGTTCACCAGCCTTTAGTCTAATATACTCATCTATGAATTATTGAATACCTAGTGCAAATTCTAGGTCCATTCTCGTAGTGTCATGTTAATTCGTTCTTTGTCTGTGGTGTTAGTGGCCAGTTACTATCATACAGCTAAAGTGAATGAAAGTCCAAACATTAGCATATTTAAACAAAGCTCCATTCCTTATATTCATGTCACATCCGCTACCTTAGAAACTCCATGACAGGCCACTGTAGTATGGTCTCTGGTTCCCTTTCAACTGTTTGCATTTGTGGTTCCTTTATTGGTGGTTGTTCAAGAATTGGCCATTCCTCATATTGTAAGTACTTTCTTCGGTGGCTTTCGTATTATTATTATTATAATCTGTAATATATTTAGATTTAGGGCCATATTATATCTCATAGCAGTTTTGGAATTCTATAATGGTTTTATTAACATACGAAAACTGTGACGAAGATTATTCATCTATATCTACTTAATTTCTTCTTGTCGTGTCGACAAGAAACCTACACAGCGTCAGCCCAAAACTCCGCCACAAGAATGGCGTTGTCAGTAGCCTTCATTAAATCTTCCTGCGTGCAGTTGCTCGGGCACGCAGGGCAAAACCACACTTGTATATCTAATATCTACATTCTACACGTATTATAATATTATGCTTTATCCAAGTAATTTTATCCAAAAATGTTGTTTACAAGTTAATCAACATTAACCTGATTTTATATTTCTACTAGCGGCCGCCCGCGACTTCGTACGTGGAACCCGTATTACCCCCTTAGGGGTTGAATTTTGCAAAACCCCGTCTTAGTGAGCACCTACGTTCTAAAAGGAACCCTCATGCAAAATTTGAGATTCCTAGCACTTGTAGTTTCTGAAATTTGGTCATGAGTGGGTGAAGCAGTGACCTTTCGCTTTTAGATTAAAAAAAATAAATCCTTTGTGTGTAAATATCTAACCGGTATTGGTAAAAAAAATAAGACTTTATTTAAATAAACTAAAGTTACCCAACTTTATTTTTTTTTTTTTTTTATCCACAACGAGGAAGCTCTTGGCCTGTATCTCACCTGATGGTAAGTGACGATCAGGCCGAAGGTGGAAGCGAGCTTCACCCGGAATCCTCAACCACGGAGGAACTGGCTATCTTACCTCTAACTGCCGGAACACAATAATGCTGTGAACATTGTTGTTATGGCGACAGACTTAGGTAAGATGGTGGTAGCTAGCCAGGCGGACTTAGAACAAGCCCTACCACCAACCAAACCGAACAGAAAAATCTGCCCCCACTGGGAATCGAACCCGGGACCTCTGCGTCTGAAGCAGGTGGTCTTACCACTAGACCACAGAGGCGGTTAATAAAGATACCCTAAATGGTGCTCATTCATGTAAAGATTTAACTTTTTTTATAATTACAGTCTGTAGAACGAATATTCGCAACTTTTTCGAAAGGAATATACAATTTAGAAAAGCTTTAAAGTATTTTGAAGCCTTATTCCCAAAGCTGTTTTATTTTTGTCCAGTGAAAGTAAATCGAACCGGTATCTATTTTGGTAATTCATTCTCGATCCTAATACCTCAGGTACTAAGTCGAAAATAGTTTAACATGTAGAGAAGTAGAGTCGGAACGAATCGGTTATTTTGGTGTTACGTTGTGCAATAATTGTAAGTCTTATCACAGCCCGGTAAGACTTATATTCCATTGCGTCACGTGTAATTTGACTGTTGTGGTTGAGCTTTTTACTTTTATTACGTAGCTTTGAACTTGGCTTAGTGTTGGCAGAAATGGTACAGTTTTGATAGACTAACGCCCATATTCACAAACGATCCTTGCTTAAGTGAAGCAGCAAATCGAACGCATAGCGTTAAATAGAGCTCTGTGATTGGTTCGTATGTGAGACCTCATAGTAATGTTTGTGAATACGGCCGTAATGAATCATGCTATCTTATCTACTTTACGATGAAAGCTGTTAATAATTATTGCGAGTCTTATTCGTGAACAAAATCGTACAATAATATTGTCCTTAAATCTTCTTCTTTGTCCTAGCCAATTCCCATTATTTGGATTAGGTATGATTTTAATACCTATACTAAGTAGATACGTCAATAATTGTGGACCGATTTTTAAAGTAACATCAATCATTATCAAAATAAGGTAGGTTTTCCATTTTATAATCTTGACCTAGTACCCTATTTCCGTGACTGCATATTTCCACGCATTGCAACAGCTTTGAATATTCATTCATGTCTAAAAAAAAAGCACTCAGTTGTTAAGTCAACAAAATTACATACACCACGTAAGGGTGAAATGGAGAAATCAATATTGCCTAAGAGATAGAAAAATCTGGAACGTGTGACCTTTAGATAATGGGAGAACAATGGTGGTGAAAATGAGGAAGTATAGGGAAATTAAAATCAATGGTAAAACAGTTTTCTCCGATTGAAAAATGAAAACAAAAAATTATGAGTGATGATGTGTTATAGCACTTTTCACTAAGCTACCGAAGAGAGGGTTATGTTTTTTAGCTGTATGTAAAGTTACAATGTTATTATGTTACATTTAAGTTGTTACATTAGTGAATTTAGTTTATGTGTTTATAAGTAGAAAACATTTCTTTAGAAGTTTAGAACGTTCCATCAACAAAATATACTAAAAGATGTTGTATTGAGTAAATATTTGAAAATGCTTTAAGATAAAAAAAAAAATATTGATAGATTCCAAAATAGTGTGTTGTTTGTTCAGGGAAAAATAAAATCGATTTTTCGAAATGAAATAACTAATTTTTGACTAAGATTTAGCACTTGTAAAATTGGGAAATGTACGATCTTCGTACTATGGGAAATGTACGATATTTGTATGATAATGAATAATAATAATGATGAGGATCGAACTCGCTACGCGAATCGCAAGGTACTTTATGTTGGAAATGTACTATGATTTTGATGTATTTTCTTTTCTTTTCCAGAATCTCCCTTAGAAGAAGTGACAGACGGCCTCTACGACAAAGGCGTCAAGTTCCTGGTGACCCACGACGTCAAAGTGACGCTACCAGAGTTCTTCTTCCAAGGGGCCACCCTGAAGATATCTCCGAGAGCCCTCACGAAGACTGGTGCTCTTGTCCACATTGATTTGGAGCCGAAGGCTAATGATGTGGGGAACGGGAGGCTGTTCTTCCAGAAAATAAGTAAGATTTAAAATTTACTAGTTCGTGATAGTACGTAAGTTCGTAAGTTTTTTTTCTAGCTCAAATAATAAGCAAATGGAATATTATTTATAAAAATTCTTCATTACTACAAAAACTCTATTATTTAAGCAATCTAAAAAACCAAGTACCAATATTGTGGCGCCAAAAATGAGAGCAATACGAAGCTTCAAACTCTCAGAGAGCCAAAAACAGCCGTGCGGCTTGCAAAGGTTGCTCTCACCGTAAGGTTAGCGCTCCAACTTCTTAAAAGGCGAAGGAACGTCCATTTAAATAAAACTTGTAATAGTGGTTTCATGTGTTCCTTGACAATTGATTTGGCTTAGAAAAAAGTTATATGAAAACGTAGAATTCCTTTAAAATTGCGATTATTTGACTCACGAAATAGCGTACATATTATTTTGCGGGTGTCCCCTATTTCGTGACACTACCGATTCAAGGATATTATGGATAACATTTTGATGCTTAGTTTTTAAATAATTATAAATAATAATTTAAATGTAAGTTGTGAAACAAATAATGCATTTATTTAAGTTTCTCATGACCTAAATTCGGTATATGTTTTTTTCACTAGAATTTATATGACACGAGTTTGAAGTTCACATATATGACCAATTTTAAGATAAATTAGAATAAATAGTACCAGCATAATTTTGGTTATATTTCGATTTGTTTTATTTATCTTTGTTTATTTGTATTGTATATGGGATAGATAATAGTTAATTGACACATTTTGACAATAATCCATGAATTTTACTTGGGGAATTTGGAATAATCAGTATCACGAAACAAGGAACCGTATTATTGTTACTTTTTTCCAAGTTCGTGATATATAAATGTATGGTGTTACGTACTTTTATGACACACACCATCAAAGAAATCGATATATTTTTTAGTTTTTAATACTTAACTACCCAAGAAATTAATTAATTACTTACTTTTTATTATGAGTCACTGGCGTATCTGGGGTTATTTTCAGGGGGGGGGCTACCCTCANAGTTCAAACTATATGTATAACTATAAATTATGTATCAACTTACTGTCAAAAGACCAAAGTTTAGCATACAAAAGCTTTCATACTGATATCATGCTTGGTTATTTTTAAATAAAATGTTAAAGTCGTAAGAGCCTTAATATACCGAAGTAGGGGGCACTTACCTTATGTAAAACCTAAATAACTAAGTTATAAAAAGCGATAGTTAGTGACATTAGTGCGATGCAACTTGTGAGAATAGTAGACGAATGTTTGTTCCTCTTCCACTATGTCTTTCACACAGAAACAAAAGAATGGATTTTGATGAAACCTTTCAATAATCAAAATTGTCTACTTACTAAAGGCTATAATTTTTAGAAAACCCAGGCAAAAGAAGATACAACTAGTTATTACAACTTATATTGGGGACAATAAATTGGAATGAAGTATTTTTGTTGTAAAATCTTGTTAGGTTGGTTTTAGTGTCACGCGGACCGTCCGGTGCGGACCCGCTCCGCACGGCCAGTCTGTACGAACTTCTAGGGAGCGTTTTAGAGTAATGCGGTCCGGAGAAACTGCTCCGCTCCCTAGCAGTTCATACAGATCAGCTGAGCAGAGCGATCCGCACTGACAGTCCACGTGACACTAAAACCAGCCTTAGACTTTAAAAATGGTCCTTTATCCTTTTAGGAAAGAATTGCTCTGGTACGTTCTGTACCACATTCAAACTCTGCAGCATCTCATAGATACTAACTTTTATTATCCCAGAAAAATACGTAAAGAAGAAGCTCCTCACCGCTGCCATAGCCATCATACTGGTCGTGAAGCTGATCGCATTGAAGATAGTCTTCGTTCTCCCCCTCATCATGGGGGTGACCACCGCCAAGAAGATGTTCCTGAAATTCCTGCTATTCCTGTTCCCTGCACTAAGCCACATCTTCAAACTGTGCTCGTGGTACCACCAGAACTACCACACGACGAAGTATCACCACCATCATCACTTGATCACTCACCATCATAAGGTAATTGGGGAAATAATCACGTTGCTTTCATAGGTACTTAGCGTTTCCTCATAATCAGAACTTCATTCACTTAGCGGTGTAAGAAATACCTTATGCGCTGTAAAGAAAAATCTTTCTTATTTTTTAAGGGTACTAGTAATTTTTTAAGTAGGTACCCTTAATAACCCTTTCAACCCTCTAGAAGGTAAGGTGCTTGTTTTAGGAGTTTGGCTTTGCTATGTGATTCTTAGTGGGCAATCGGCCTTTTAGGAAATCATTGGGGGAGGCCTATGTTTAGCAGTGGACGTCCTATGTCTGAAATGATGCTGATGATGATGATGATGTGGATTTAGATTGCGAAGCCGGTTTTTAGGAAATCTTAAACTGGGTGGACATCTTAAAGTTAACTCTTTGACGACCTCCCATGAATCAAGTCTAAAACCGTTTTCTTCCAGCCATCACACGGCCACGGTTCATACGGTCACTCATCACACCCCAGCTCGACTGTGATCGTCAGGCCGCACTCTGAAGGCCCTCCACACACCTACGACCACTACCCGACTCAGGATTGGGAGCTGTCTGGACCAGGACTTGGCAATGAGTAAGTGGTTCTTTTAGATGGTATTCTACAGACTACAGTGTTTAGTCGGGCGATAGTTTTTCGGGCTATTAATCAGTATGAACAGGTATGGAAGTGCGCACGATCTTCTACACAAATTACAAGACCGCCAACCATCGGCCGACTAAAAGTTTGTAGTTTGTGGAGAGTCTTAATGAGTAGAAGGAATTTAATTATACTCGTACATCTTGTTCTCTCCACAGTAAGATAATTATATTCAGGTCTACAACTGGGCTGGTTGGAACTCAACTAGCGAAGGTTAACGGGACTATTCCCACCTCTCGTTCCCACCGCTGCAACTCCTGTGTAGCCAGAATCTACAGCTTGACCGCCATAAAAACCCAACCAATGAAGGTCAAGAAAGTTTGTCCCGGGGGAAAGTTAAACTGTCATTGGACCCGCAACGAAATTAATCAGAAGTAGGTATACAGGGTGGAATTTTATAATGCCACCTCGAAGGAAAGTAGGTACTCTTAATATTGTAGATAGAAAAATTTTCTCAAAGAAAACATTCCTTTATTTTTGAAAATAAATAGAACTGCATTCAAAGATTTCCAAAAATTTGCTTGCCACACCCGGTAATCGAACCAACTAAAATCAGTTAAAAATTACACCCTGTATTTTTATTAAATCGATCGTAAGGGTTAAGTGTAAGGATGAAATCTCTCTAACAAACTTGATAAATCATATGAAAGGAAAGCCATGAAATCTTACATTATTTTAATTATGTTACAGAAAATTGTATGGTATGGTAGTGAATTTTCGAAAAAAAATCGAAAATCTTTGAATGCAGTTCTCTTTCTTTTCAAAAATAAAGGAATGTTTTCTTTCAGTAAAATTTTCTATCTACAGTATTAACAGTATTTTCCCTCCAGGTGGCATTACAAAATTCCACCCTGTATAGGAGGAGTTCGAAATTAAGGTTCGACTTCCTTCCATTGCGAAGCGGATGACAGGTAATAACGGTAATAAACAAAGGTTTAATAATAATGAAGATTCTAGTCTCGGGGATATCTGTCTTTAAATCCACAAACAATAAGTCAACAGAATAGAGTAAAAGTTCGGATTATAATCTCTACTTTCCTCTGATACAAGGGAAAGGGGACCAACTTTCAACATTTTTGGAATGTGCTAAATACGGGCAAAATTATGTCTTCTTGTCTTCTTATGTCTCATGTCACTGAAAAAATAGAATTCACCTGATTTAAAACGACGAGGCTTCAAATTAAATAACTCAGTAGGAATCAAACTGATGTCAACAACTTAATTAACTTTAGTAGATAATTTAAAGGTCAGTGACCATGAGCATGACCATGAAATGAATGACTAATATTTGTTAAGTGTAGATGGCCAGTGAAAGTCATTGATTCAACAAGTTTACTTAGAAGTAAAAGTGTTTAATGGCGATCATAGTACTATAAATAGAATGGCAAAATAAATACATTCAGTTAACAGTCTGCACCCATTAAAAAGGTCGTTGAACTAGCCGCCATGAGAAATGCTAGACATTTTTATGTCGTTACTACTCGATGCTAATAACATTCACTTGAAATGACCGCCACACAGGAAAGTAATTCTTACAAAAATATTTAACATTCAAAGTATGACGTCATACGATGATGATTTGGAGACAAATTTTTGAAGCAAGAGCTACAGATAATAGAGAAACAAATTTTAATATTATGCGAACACTCGAGCATTCGACAGGCCTCCCTAACAAGCGATCAGACTAAATCTTAGGGCTCGTGGGTGGACTTTCCGGTACGTGGCCTCCATCCCAGAACCTTGCTACCCCATCGGTCGGCATCGGTTACCTAACCTTTATTTGTCACCTGTCATCCACTTTGCAAAAGAGGGAAGTCGAACCTTAACTTCAAACTCCTCCTATGTTCTTCTGATTAATTTCGTTGCGGGTCCAATGACAGTTAACTTTCCCACGGGACATACTTGACCTTCACTGGTTGGGTTTTTATTGGCGGTCAAGCTGTAGTGCCTGGCTACACAGGAGTTGCAGTGGTAGGAACGAGATGTGGGAATAGTCCCGTTGCCTCGTCGGCCGTCAGTTCTGCGTATGTACTATGTGCCCTGCCTACTGCCACCTCAGCTTGCTATCCTGTCTAGTCCGTAGAGATTCTATTAAAATGCATTTATTATTTCAGGTACGTGGCGTCAGGCATATCCAGTATCCACCGCAACGCGATCGCCAACTTCAAGCCAGATGTCAATGACGCTAATGACATCAACTCATGGGGACTGGGCATGCCACCAGGTGAGACAAGGCATCCGGATCGTGGAACGCGGACGAATCATCATCATCATCATCTCAGCCATAGGACGTCCACTGCTGAACACAGGCCTCCCCCAATGCTTTCCATGTTGCCCGGTCGGTAGCGGCCTACGTCCAGCGCCTTCCTGCTACCTTTATGATGTCGTCATTCCACATTGTGGGTGGACGTCCCACGCTGCGTTTTCCGGTATGCGGCCTCCACTCCCGTGCACACACTAACGCAGACGAATGCTTGAGGCTAAAGGCCGATAGTGATGTCCCGCATTCCTGACCCATAAGGTTTACCGAAGGCAACGTTAGGTTTTTAGTGGGTAGGCCCTGCCTTTCTGCCAGAGAGAACCCCACTAGCCACCCACTTTTATGTATTTTCCTGACGAAAAAAAGGCGTGCGTGTCGTGTCGTGACACGCGCAGTACAGGGTTCCGTAGTTGCCCGTCATTACCACAATATACTTCAAATGCTACCCAAAATCCATTACGAAACAACGTTCAAAACTCGATAGAATCATTCGTTCATTCGTTTCAACCGAATGACATCCACTGCTGGACAAAGGCCTCCCCCAAGAATTTCCACAAAGACCGGTCCTGCGCCGCCCGCATCCAGGCACCTCCTGCGCCTTTCACCAGATCGTCGGTCCACCTAGTGGGAGGCATGCCCACAGAATCATTAGATTCTGGTACTATCATTGGTAAAATGTCTTTGACTAAGATGGGCTTGCTCTTATTAACAATCTTAGGTACTGGAGGGATGCAGGTGCAATTTATGGAATACTAGCGGCCGCCCGCGACTTCGTACGGGTGGATCCCGTTTTACCCCCTTCATCTATCTTACGCGGTTTAGATTTTTTCATACAAATGTTTTTTCCCGCTAACTCCCGTTCCCGTGGGAATTTTGCAATATCCTGTTGTAACTAAGCTTTAAGTTTACTAAGGTACCTGCATGCCAAAGGACAATGTTCGTTCTCCATACATTGTTCGCCTAAAGAACCAACAATTTTGACATATTACTACCCGAAAGCGAAATAATACGATTCTGTGTGTAAGAACAATGATTCCTGATGGACACTTGCCATAAAATAATGATTAAGAATATTAAATCACAGCGATTTTATAATATGTCGTTTATGACAACATGGCGTCTAATGTATTGTGTGAATGTATGAACAACCGATTCGCGAAAAATGTTTGGTATTGTCGTCACGCCGAGTCGCAGCCAAATAGTATAAAATAATAGAACAAGTTTTATTTTCAAAATCGATATTTTATTGTCTATGATGGCCGCAGGAACATCACTATACATGGACTCCCAGCAATAAAGTACGGTAATGCCTCGTACAGATTTTATCGGCAAAAATTATGGAACTTGATAGGTTTTAGACCATGCCACGCACCAAAACGTCCGGAAGTTGTAATAGTATTATAGAATAAACGTTAAAAGACTTATTTATTTAATTTTTCAATGCTTAAGTGTCCATTAGAATGAAAGGGTGCTTAATGTATTAAAAAAAATAGAAAATAATTATGATGGGTTAATGTTTTTGGGCGGTTTTTTAGGCGGTTTCTGACAATGTCCTTTCAAGTGTCTAACTTAAGCGGTTTAGATTTTTCATACAAAAGGATTTTCCGCTAATTCCCGTTCCCGTGGGAATGCACCTCTACGGTACCTAAGCTACGTCCCTTCCAAATTTCAAGTGCCTTAGTTTAGTCGTTTAGGCTGTGCGTTGATATGTCAGTCAGTCAGTTTCTCCTTTTATACATATATTTAGATGTGGAGCGCCTTAAAGGCCTTATGGTTGTATAGCTTCGAGAACACAGAGGCTGCCAAAAAATTTAGCGATCGACATAATTTATGTATTTCCAGGACCTTCCACGAACACAGGGGAATATGCCAGCACCAACGTTGTGCCTCAAGTGGTGGGAAATCCCAACACTGGGCAGAGAATCAATTTGGCAGTTCCAGGAAGGTAAGAAATCTTTCATAATTAAAATTAATTTAAAAAAATCTCCAGGGTTGAAAAACAAAAATAAAGTCTCCAGAATTAATGAAGTAGGATGAACAAGATCTGTATTTTGAACTACATACGAGGGGCGGCTGATAATTTCGCGGCCTAAGGTACTTAATGAAATAAAATAAATGGTTTCTATTTTTTATTTTGTAATATAATCTTCCTCAAATGAAATACATTTCTTAAATCTCGCATACAATGCCTTTTACCCACCTAAAAATTTTTTTTTCAAAATGACGACCAACCGCAGCTTTAATTTCGTTGTTATCTGCATATCTCCGGCCCCATAAGTCCTTTTTCAAATCGAAAAACAGGAAAATATCGCTAGGTAATAGGTCTTGGCTATATGGTGGGTGGTGAATCTCTGAGCATCCGGTGTCTTTCAGGGCTTGGCCTCGCAATACGTGCGGCGTGAACGGGCGCGTTGTCTTGCAGAAAGAGCAATCCGCGTGTCAGTTTCCCACGTCATTTCTGTACAATAGCCTCGCAAACATAAAGAAATATTCTTCAGCTATCTGCCACGATTTAATTCTTTGGTCAGCCGGAACGATTTTTTCGACTATTGAACGTTTCCTTCACTCAGTATCGTGACAGGGCGGGGGTCGTTTTCACAGGTCTCTCATCCGTGTTGAAATAGTCGGGCCAATTTTTTAACCATGGTATATGAAAGTCCAGAATCCTGAAGAACCGATGACATCTCTTCAAAAATGTCTTTCGGTTTATTTTCCTTCTTTACGAGGAATTATGTCCGCGGCGCGCGGTGTCGAAATTCCGCAAATCTCCAGATTCGGCGGACATGGTGATGTCATTTGTTCGATAGAAATTGAACTATCAGTGCAAACTTAATTAGTGATTGCTTTTTATAATACTACTGAGTGTCGCAACTAGTGACATGAGTAACAAGCTAATTACTCATCGCTAAGTACCTTAGGCCGCGAAATTATCAGCCGCCCCTCGTACCACTAAAGTATGAGCCTGAACTTGAGGAAATATACGCCTTATACAATTTAAAAATACCAATTTTATTCATTTTGTATGTATTTAAAGTGTTCTTTTTTATTTTAGGCCTGTTGGACCACCAAATCCATATCGGATCAAAAAGCAGCAAGTAAAAGATCCTTTACAGGCTGAAAAAGATGCGCTGGTAAGATAAACATCTGCTAATCCACAATAATCCATATTCTGATAATGTTCTAGATAGACATTTAGAGAGAGAGATGTCAACTAATGCGCTGAGTTCGAAACTCAGTGTCGCATTAGAAATTGACACAAACAATGTAATCAAAATATGTGCTCATTATCCCCTGCGGTATTAGTACTCAACGTTCGAATAATCTTTAGTACTACGCAAGCAATGTAAACATGATGACGTCTGCAGCAATGTGTTCTGTTTTTGGGTATATTGCTGCGACACCAGCCCCGTCCCAGTGGCGGCGTAGTTACTTTGGAATTCGTTTGTTGAATTTCATGAGAAAAACTAACATGTGGCAATTATCTAAAAGCAAAAATAAAGAGATCTTGAGGAGGTGAATCGATAGTTGTAAGGTTATCCATTGTTTTTGGGACTCCCTGTATTTTGTGCATTTTTATTAATAGCTCTTATTAACATGTAGATACGAGCAGCGGCTTTAGCGGCCAGAGCGCCTCCGTCACCAGTGAGAGACGAGTTGCTCAGAGTCTCGGCCGCCAAGCTCACCGAGACCGAGCGAGTGAGGGCCGAGGCCGAACGAGTGAAGGCCGAGTCGGCACTCGTCAAGCAACAGCAGCAGATACTGGCTGCACAGGACCCAGTGAGTTTTTAGAACACCTAACGAAAGAAATATCAAACGTATGAGAGCCGAGGCCGAACGAGTAAACGCCGAGTCTGCACTTGTTATATTTAACAGCAGCGTAGAACTCTGGGTGTATGTACAAGTACCCAGTTTAGTATTGACTACTATACTCATATTTGATCGCTCGAAATCCGAGATCATACGGTGCAGTTGGCCTGCACTCGCTGCAAAAACAACAGAAATTTTCTGCACTAAACAAATATCGAATTAGGGTTGAGGTCGAAAATACCAAGTTTCCACTCATTCGCTTCCGTTCGACAAATGATCTACTAGTTATGAGTAATAAACATTTACGAATGTAATGTAATACTATCTAAAAATAACTCTGCGCTGAAATATTTAAAGCTTAATTAGTGCTTTCAATCTCTGCTTTTTAAAAAACTTTCACTTTTTCCAGGAAACGATAACAGCAGAGAAGTTCTACGGGAATCTAATAGACAGAGTGGACAAGATCCTAGCTTCAATAGGTGCGACGGAGTCTGGTTGTGGCGAGAGAGCTGTATGTGCTCTATATAGAGAGCCTTTCCGCCACGCACCGTACAGCAATCTACTGTCCAATGAACTCAGCAAGTAAGTTAAGAAAGAAAGAATAAGAAAATCTTTTATTTAACACAAAAATAACAGAGGGACTTAAAACTATACACGCATAATTTTTGTGCCAAAAAGGCGCCCGCTCAGCATTTAGTCGTCTTTATCATCAACCACCTCTGCTGCCGATGGGGCAGCAAGGTTCTGGAGTAGAGGCCACGTACCGGAAAACGACGCGTTGGACGTCCACCCACGACGTAACAAGAGGTAGCAGGAAGGCGCTGGATGCAGGCCACTACCAACCACCGATGTGGAAATTATTGGGGGAGGCCTATGTTCAGCAGTGGACGTTCTGTAGCTGAAATGATGATGCCGCTTCAGACCCAAAGGTCTCAGGTTCGATTCCCAGTGGGGACACAATGTTCTGCTCGATTTGGTTGAAAGCATAGCATGTTCTAGTTACCACCATTCATTACGAAGTGTTCAAGCAGTTGGAGGTAGAATAGCCAGTTCCTCTGTGGTTAAAGAATTCCAAATGAATCTAGCTCCCACCTTCGATCTGATCATTACTTTAATATGAGCTTTCTCGTTGTGGATGAAAAAATCTGTCTTCTGCTGAGCATATGCCAATCCTTTTTGAAGAGGAAAAAAAATATCAGCGTCTAAACGCAGCGCTTCTTTAAACGCCCAGACTGACGTACCCTTACTGTTTTCCAGAGACTCCAGCGAGTTGGTTCCCCCAGCAGACAGCACGATGGCACTTCGGTACTATACGTACGTGCAAGCAGCGAGAGACGGCCAAGAGCAGAAGGAATGTAACGCCCTTTATCCCAACTGCCCCGTAGACTTTGACAGGCACCAAAAGTAATTTAGGAGTATAAAGTCGCGCAGGGAGAGTTAAGGCGATCAATAGGTGCAAGCATTTGTTTATTTTTAAGTATTTGTGGCTCTCCACGCTGACGTCTTAGGTAGAACTGACAAACGTTTTCGGTCTCGCTTACACACATTCGTTATAATTATTTAGCAAGAACGAGGAAGGTATGTATATCGATAATTGAATTTGAGTCGACTGGGAAACAAAACCACACCTTCACTCCAAGTTTGAACCATCCAAGAATCCCCACTTGAACAGATTGTCCTTACTACAGCTGACCTGCGTCCGAAGTCTATTTAAAGACTTCCTGGTAGGCCAGGGGAGCTTATGTCCAGGTGGAGGACTTTCAGACACAGGGACAAAAAGGCAGGGGAGATCAGCTCTCTCGCGCCATAACCTGCATCTCCTGGTATTGTTCCCCAGGCGACGAAGCACATGATGTCGTGCCCTGCGTGCCCAAACAACTGCACTCAGGAAGATTTAATGAATGCTACTGACAACGCCATTCTTGTGGCGGAGTTTTGGGCCGACGCTCTGTGTAGGTTTGTTGTCGACACGACAAGAAGAAGAATTGAATTTGAGTGTGTGTTCCTGTACATGTAAATTTACGTCTGTGTGAATACCGTATTCACCTCAACTCCTTTGTGCTTCAGGCCAAGTCATTTTCTTCATTAAATTGCATTGTTGCATCCAAGTCTTGGAGATATTCTTTGTAGGCTTTGGCTGCATCTTTACATAATATTAAAAATCTCAACAAATTTTTTGTTATAATAAAAGACGTGTCATGCGCGAATAGATAACTTAATATTTTTACTATGTTATTAGTCATCCTGTATAATGTATATATTTTTTATTATGTGTAGTCGACAACACATCAATATACACAGTCATTTTGTTGCAATATAGCTGTGCTGTCGTTTGTACAGGTAAATAATAATAATAAATAAAGCTATTATTATTTAATAATATGACTATAAGATTGTTCTGGAAAGGCTGGTCTGCATTTATTATTCTAAAATGCTTAAATTGTACAGCTATGTCCAAAACCTAGCATTATTATTTATTATTAAATTTTAAGCCTTATTGCTAGATAATTGATTGATTTTTAACACCAAGTGTACAGTCTTTTACGTATTATGTAAGTAATAATAATTATTATGTTCATAAGTATGAATCTTTCAAAAGTGCGACAACTAACCCTTTACTTTTACCACAGAATACATAATAGTAGCAACAGAAATTGCACTCCCTTGATCAGCATCAGATGCCGACATTTTAACGGTAATAATAATAATGCAAAATTTCCAACGAACTTGGTGCATTCGAAATCACACCTTACTACTACGCTCACAAGAGCTCAATTTTTTTGTGATCAGATTTGATCTACGTCACAGCTCAAGCGTCAGGGTTGTTAAAGCAAAGTGAAATAAATAAAAACTAAATTTTAGGAAGCAATCATCGTATTCACGATTGGTAAACGTTAATCTAGTGGTGTTTGTATTTCGTACCATCTCCAAAGTAACTATTAATAAACTTTAGTGTTGCGATTATTCGAAATTGAACAAAAAGGTGAAGTGTCGGAAAATAAACACAGTGAAGTAAAGTTAATGTTTTATTAGCTAAAATAATGTTTTTGCTACAGCTTTTTGTCATAAGTATTTCAAATTTATTTAAAAAATGCAGTTATTTTTAATTATTTGAATTACTATTTTAAATTACAGTTAATTACGTGAACGATTTTCCATTATAAAGACGAATAACAGTGCTGTTGGAACAATAAATAAACCTTGATTGCGACGATGATCGACCGAGCGCGAGCGTGTATAGGTACGCGTGTGTACACAGACGCGTGGCGGCCCTAACTGATTTGCAACTTGAAGTTGTCGCGCGCTGTAGGTAATTATCTCGGCCGGCATAGGCGAGTGACGGAGGCCTGCTTTTACTGCGTGAAGCGATCTTGTTGATCGAATTTATCATGAATATTTTAACGTTGTCGTACAGGCTTCGGCATTCAAGGGGGCCAGCCAGACCCCAGATGTCAGGGGCCAGGCACCCTGAAATATCCTTACCTTAGAGACGCCAATGGTCTCTGTCTGTTAAAAAGTAAATTAGATAATTATTTTCGTTAGTGTGTTAATTTATTGTTTACCTATTTATTTTATTATTAAGTTTAGTTAATAAAAAACATTAAACCCAGTCATTAGGACCGTAATTAATTGATTACTTTGCTCAAAATACCAACAGTGGTTTCATGTATTTTCTGCTAAATAAATCATATTACAATTTATACGGCTTATTTATTAAGTATTTATGTTTTGTTGAATAAAATATACTTGAAATGTATCACCTTGTTTTTTTCCAAATGAAGATAATCCATAACGATTAGTCCTGCGCTCACGCATCCAGGTATTTCCCGCGACCTTCACCAGATCGTCGGTCCACCTAGTGGGAGGCCTGCCCACGCTACGTCTTCCAGCTCGTGGTCACCACTCAAGAACTTTCCTACCCCAGCGGCCATCAGCTCTACTACGAGCTATGTGCCCCGCCCACTGCCACTTGATTTTAGCGATTCTGCGGGCTATGTCAGTCACTTTGGTTCTCCTACGGATCTCCTCATTTCTGATTCGATCACATCACTGTTCACAAACTCACTATTTCATCGCACGAGCATAGCTTGCTTTGGGAGCCTTCGTATGAGGCCCATAAGAAGCGACCACTGAGCGGTCGTTACGAATATCCTTGGGGGAGGCCTTTGTCCAGCCTTGGCCGTCATTTGGCTGAATCAATGATGACATTATAAACGTGTTTCGTGCCATGTGCCTTCCACAGTAACAATAATTATAAGGATAGGCCTAGTTCACTTAGGCCAGAGCTACTATGCCAAAGGTCACGGGTTCGATCCCCACACAATACAAAATGATGTATGAATTTTTATCCTCCTTTTAAGTTCAAACGCTGGTTGATACTTTCCATAGTATTTATTGAATAACTTGTACAACAATATTACTCATCAGTATTACACAATTACATTTCGGCAGAATAGTCCGTTCGACACGATAGTTCACCATCGACTGCCCGCCATTGGCCACAAAATGCTAACGTGGTTTTCGCTACAGTGTGATCGGAAGCGGAAACCCCGGCGCATTTTGATATAAATTATTTCTTATTATAACAATGTTCTAAAAATATTGTAATAAATCATTATTTTAAATAAAATTGATATTAACATTTTACTGTTTTGATTTTAATTTATACAAGACTACAAATCACAACATGAGATCACAAACCGGAAGTGCAGTGTAAAATTATCATAATGAGACAATTAAATGGACACTGAAAGTTATTGCTTAGAAAACATTAATAATATTATTAGACAGTCTAACTCAAGTATATTATAATTATGTATAACCTAACAGCTCGGCCATCCTGTAATGCGCGAGTCCCATCGCGTTACTCAAGAAGAAATAAACACTAAAAAAACACTAGAACGAGTATTCTACATTAAGTACCTAATCATAACTCGATTTTACACAATTGAAATTAATGTGCAACATTATATTCCTTATTTTACTATCCATCCATTCTATAAAGTTTTGTATAATAATATCACTATATAGGTAACTATAACATAACTATTAACTATACTATACTGTAATCCATTCATATTACTCATTAATATTACTTATTAATATTGTTTACAATTTCATGCGTACTTAAAGAATAATATATCTGCCTCTTTGCATATAAAAATGTACAATGTATAAATATTATCTTTTTTTTGTATTACAAATCATGTCGTTTGAGTAATTTATTTCATTAGTTTAGCAAATTATTAGCTATGCGTGTGGTATCAGAAATTTAACATTTTTCATTCTATTCTACAATTGCTATCATTATCTATACTATTATTGTCATCATCGTCATCATCCCCATCACTTGTACAACTGTCAAAATTTCGATCAAAACTCATCCAAGGTTGAATTTTGTAAATGGCCGCTACGCCCTCATAACCACGAATCCATCATGCCCAAGAACCTTAGTAATGCAATAAGGCCCTTAGTATTTGACAACCAACTTCTACGACTGTCCATCATGCGGTATTTGCCTTTCTATTCGAACCAGATCGCCTATTTCATATTTCCTATGCTTATTATTCCGCTCAGCGTCTTTTAGCTGTTGTGCTTCAACGCGTTTATTTATTTCCTCTCTGACCGATTTCAGTTCATCTGGAGATATGACGTTAATAGTATCCTCAATGACCCTGGGATCTATGATTTATGATACACACGGGATTTTTGTAACAATGCAACAACCGCGAGTGTTTCAAATTCAAATGTTTTTTTTTTCTTCCGATGTCATTTTTCGGCTGAATTAGGATATAGGTTGTATAATACCGTTGCTATTACGCTGAAGGAGGATACCAGCGAAGCCATTTTTGCCGGCATCTGTATGGAGCTGAGTTACAAGCTTAGGATCATACAAGGCAAGTAATGATCGTTCTGATAGAAGATCTTTTATGATTTGAAATTATTGTTCCTGAGATTCCCCCCACACCTATCAAATATCCTTCTTCAACAAGTTAGTTACATGACGTGATGCTATCAAAGCATAATCTTTAATAACCCCGAAAGATCTAAGAATTGACGCAGTTCGTCTTGATTCGATGGTCTTAGGAAAATTGGAGACAGATTTACTCTTTTTGGAACCCCGGACGTATCCCATTTGCGTTAACTTCTAAACCAAGAAAGTCAATCTTTACGAAGGTAAAGTTGCATTTGTTCGATTTTAACGTAAGTCCGTCATTTCTTAATAAATCAAGAAACTCTCGAAGTCGCGTCAACCCTTCATCAAAGCTTTTACATGGTATAAGTATGTCGTTCATCTAGACTAGAGCATACTTGAGGTAGTAACCCGACGCGAGATCCAAAGATATGAAAAGAGTATTACCCGCACGTAAGTCCAACTGATACTCGATACTTTTTTTTACTAGAACGATCGAGCTCGCGTAGGTTGTTGCCGATTCCTTA